AACTATACTCAGTTCCATTGTTGGCTTCCAAAGAAAACCAATAACCCTAACCTCTTGTGAACTTTGTTATTTTTCTAAAGCCTTTGGCGGTCAGGTTGAAGTGCTGGGCACTTCTCTACCTTTCCACCTCCCTTCATCTAGCCTCTCCCCCACCCCAGGACTACCTCTACCTTTCCCAAGCACCACCTCCCATTCCATTTCTAATATCTCAACTTATTTTTATTCAGAGCATTTATGCATATCTAAACCCAAATACTCAGTATCTGGCAAGCCACCCCCAGCATTCACCCTCCTGAAAGACTGCATAGCTTTTCCATAATAACCATACAAGCTTCCTTCTGAGAGGTCCATGCTGCAGTCACTGACACAGACTCCCCAGGGATGGGGGAAGAGTCAGAGGTTAGAGACAGAGACCCTGAAAGGGTCAGAGATCCCAAGCGGCCACTGAGACCCTGAGCAAGTCACTTCACATCTCTGAACTTCAATCTCTGCATCTGCAAAATGAAGACTAATTGCACGTCTGAGACGACTTTGTTTTCCCATTGTAGGTTTCACATAACTAGCAAAACCAAAAAACTATAATCGAGGTAGAACTAACTTTCAGTTACCTAACGTCTATTAGTTTTAGGTTTAAAGAACCCTGACTGCTTGGTTGCCACCCTATTTCTTATATTCCCATCCTGCAAAAATTACTCACCAGATGAGGAAAGCTTTCCTTCCTCTCTTGCCTTTGGCGCAGCCCTTCAAAGAGCATGATCTTTTATAAATGCGTATGAGTAGAGCAGAAGAGTCTTCCCCAACAGTAGGATGGGGGGAAACTATGAGGTCTTTTTTTTTGTGGAGAGGTGCTTTTTCAACGAGCAAACAAACAAACAAACAAAAAGCCATGGACACTCTGTGGTCAGAGATTAAACTTCACAATATGACCCTGTTTTCCTTTTCAGTTCTTCCAACATCCCCACCAAAACACGAAACTGATTCCCAAAAACTGGCACAGGAAAATTGTGATAGAATATCAAATTCCGCTTCCCTCTGACTTCACTTTGCCTAATTCCCTACTAGGTAAAACCCAGATACTTAAACAAACAAACAAACAAATAGATAATCTGGCAGAAGCTGTGTCCCGGCACCTAGAGAGATAGGAGTGTCATCTCCTACACAGGCTGTCCTGGCTTGGTTTGCTTACTTTTGTCAATTCTGATTCTCTGGAGAAAGATTATCTATCCCCAAAGCCATTAAAGCATCTAGCCAGGATAAATGGTTCCTGCCTGAGAAAAACAGTCCTCCAGTGTCAGACACTGCCTCTTAATTGATCTTAATAAGCCATTTTAAATGAAGGGGAAGAAAAAAGTAGAGCACTAACCCATGGTAATTATCTGTAATTCTCCATGCGTAATGTCACTGAATTGAGAAAACAACGCAAAAATGGACAGATGCTGACTAGAGCTTTCGCTGACACCAAAATTAGGGTATTTTGTACAGTAAGTAACATGACTAAGCGGCAGTATTTCAAAGGCAGGTCTTCATCCCCACAACAATATCCAATGCCAGGGACTGCTGGGAACAGTCAGAAGACGCACTTTCCATAAAGCATGACCCAGGAGAATGGGCAGGACTTGGGCAGTGTGGCCTAAAAGCTGATGGGTGTGGCAGAGACTCATTTAGCTGCTAATATTTAATGTAAAATCGGGTAATTCTACATCAGCTATAAAGTGAGAAGAGAAATGAACTCCCCTGCTTCCTAAGTAGGGCTTTTTGTTCTGCTTTGTTTTGTTGCCAGTTTAAAGAACTATAATCCCAGCACTTCAGAGGTCCTTTAAAAACAAATGTTCTTATTTAACAATGGTAGAAAACAAAGAGGAGGTCTCACAGCTGTGAGTAAAGCCCACAGGCCTCGAGTGGGGTGGAACACAAAGTGGGTTTGAGAGGGAGGGGGGCAGGGTCAGGAAAAGTTAGGTAGCAGCTAGACTGAGCGGTGGGAGGAATGCTGGGAGGCAGAGTCCCCAGTCCTTGAGGGGAGAATGAGATGGACAGGAGCTGGAGGCAAGACAGTGATAAATCAGAGACACATTAGAAGCCCGGGGGCTCAACATCCAGAGCTTGTGCCTTCTAAGACCTTGGGGCTGACATATCAAGAGCCAAGGGTGCAGAACACAGTCCTCTCCTCTTCCCCGTCTGCCCCAGGGTAACCCTTAGACTCGTTATAATGCATCTGAATTGCAGGTATAGCCCCGCCCAAAGGAGAAAAGCTACCAGGATGGTTCTGCTTCAAACCCTGTAGGGTAAAACACAACCTCTCCCATCCTGTGGAAGGAGTCTCCCAAAAGACTGGGAGCAGCCTCCACTGGAGACCACCCACCCCACTGCAGGTCCCATCCCCGAAAGACCCAAGAATATCCGATCCGAAACAACTTAGGAGGTTCTGCCTCCTGGAATCCGTCTGCTCTCCCACCGTGAGGGTGTCCTTTCACCTTAATAAACAGCTCCGCGCTTGCTACTTTCCTTCTAGCTGTCTTGATTCTGAGCACAGATCCCCACCTATATCTTTTCAGGGGGTATCTAAGGACGGAGACCTCCCCATTCACACAGTGCAGACTCTCCCACCAGTGTAACAGAAAGACCGCTACTCTTTATCTTACCAGGAATCTCCTCTTCTATCCTGACCTGTAACCAGCATCTCTCTTCTTCACCTCTTTAGGCCCCGACAAGTAATTCTGAGCGCTTATCATGTTCCAGAGAGCCGTGTGCTAGATGGGGGTTGCTATACCATTTCTGATACCCTCCGCATAAGGAGAACAGCTTTATCTGATGTCTCAGCAATAAGACAATTTACCATGTTTTGAAAACTCCACGCATCTCCACTCCAGAAGTGTACGTGATTGAGTGCAGGTTTGTGTGCATGTGTGTAGGGTGAATGGTGCTCTGAGCATCCAGCAGCTGCTACTGACCTAGCAGCAACAATTAAAAGGAACAATCTTGGGCTCACAGCTGCCAATGGGCTAGGCAGAAAGATGGGAATGATAACAAAGAGGGAAGTGAATGAAACTCCAAGGAAACAAAGGATTTGGTATCCTGTCCCTGCCCGGAGCAACAGTATGGGGGAAGACATGACTGTGGCTCGCTGGAAAGTCTGTGTGGGATTTGCCCTGAGGTTAAAAGTTACCAGCACTGGGGCGCCTGGGTGGCTCAGTGGGTTAAGCCTCTGCCTTTGACTCAGGTCATGATCTCGGAGTCCTGGGATCGAGTCCCACATCGGGCTCTGCTCTGCGGAGAGCCTGCTTCCTCCTCTCTCTCTCTGCCTGCCTCTCTGACTACTTGTGATCTCTCTGTCAACTAAATAAGTAAATTCTTTAAAAAAAAAAAAAAAAAAGTTACCAGCACTAAGAGCCACTTGCTTTTAGTTTAACACGCAACTGAAATTAAAAAAGAAATGAATGAACTTGAATTATTTTTCCTTTAGTTCTCTTGAAAGTTACTCAAAAACAGTGAACCTGCAATAAATTCCCCCCTGCAATAAATTGGGGGAAAGCTGAAAATGCCTGGCTGATTAGTGATTTTTAACTTATGTAACTTTTTTTTTGTGGTCGACAGTTTAGAATTCCATTACAATCATATTATAAACTGACCTAAGCCACTTTAGCACCTCGAAATGTCTGGTTCTTTTGATAAAGGAGCTTCTAGCACTTAGAGATAGGTGAGAGCTTCATACTCGCTACTCTCAGTCCAATTTTTGTCAATGTACATAGGCAAGCAGGCACAAAAACAGGCAAGCTGTCCTCCTCTGGAAGGAATTTCTCTTTCGGATCTCTATCACTTACACGCGAATCATGCAGGTTCACTCTGAATGTTCACCCAACATTCTCAGGGCAGGACAGACAAATAGAATTAGGTGGACAAGGAACCCTTGGAGAAGTGGCATGCCCACAGTCCTCACTGCTCTGAAGGGGTCAGGATGCTGGGCTCAGCAGGTTCTCATTCCTCACTCACCCAGGGGTGCTGGGGTTCTTACAATCCATTTTACTAATGAAAAAGATTTCTCAACATCCTTAAAGAAAGCTGCTCAGACAATACCTGAAGTGTTTAGGCAACCAACTTTGGCGGAATGTGTTCCTAATGAAGACATTTCCGATGTCACCAAAATACCAAGAGAATAAGTTAATTTATGCATGCATACACAGCCTTCTGTATACACTTCAGTATTCTTAGAGTACACTACCATGCAGATAATTTGATTGTTTCTACAAAAGGAAACTTTCCCAATTTTTAACCTCAGTTATTTACTGCTATTTTACCAGGCAAATTTTCTCTTATAAATTTAAATTATTGAAAACTATTAAATGAAATCAATGTTGTTGAAATTTTGTAAATTTGCCTTCATTCATCATTTTTCTCCCTATTAGACAAAATGCCTATTAAAAAAAAAAGTCTATTAAACCAACTGTTGATCATGTTAAGTTACCATTTATATTTCTAGGCTATCACAGGCAAAACCTAAGATTTGTTTCTAACTTCTCACCAAAACGAACATTATCTTCTTGGGTTACAGATGTACGTAAGTACCATACTAGTGCGTCATCCTATTTCAAGCTTTCGCAAAGCCAAATTAGGTTAACAATATTAAAATCATGATTCAAAATGAGATTTGTAAAAGAATTACAGTGTTCTCCAAGGCTCTCCCAGTGCAAATCATTTTGATAATAATAGGAAAACTACTACTTCTTTTACTTTACCCCAATATGTTCAACCTTAACCACAACCTTCTATTCCCATTTGAGATATGGGAACAGTTGGGGTCAGAAGAGTTAAGTGAGTTGACCCAAATTCCAAGATGAAAAAGGACACAGGATTCAAAGGCAGGTAGGTCCTTCTCAGCTCCACATCCTGAACTCTTTCCTTTTTGATTTGTTATTACACCCAAGCCCCTGAACAAATTAAACTACCAAACTATGAAACTCAAAATAACAAAATCACACAAACATGCCATATATCCCATTTCATACCTTTAATCCTCTGAGACTTCCTGGGCTAGTTGGAGAAGAGCTAGAAGATTTCGTTGATTTAGGAGTAGACAGCTGGCTGCTGGGAGTTCCATTAACTGACCATGAGACAACAAAGGAGACAGAGGTCATTCAAACCCCAAATAACCAGATTGCACAAATACACCAAGCACATGCACAACATTGCTCCAATGAAGCTTCGATTCATTTAAAGCTCAAAGCAGATGGCAAATCAGTGAAAAGCAAAAATAATGTGTTTTATTGCATTACAAAGTATCAGACAAATAAGGAGTGAAACTAGAATTGTTTTCAGTAATAGCTTTCCAACAGTGACATAAACAAATATATAAAACATTATGGAATTAGAGATGTGAATGAGAACTTGTCCATAGATTCTGCCTGCCAGCAAGGGCAGAGAAATGAAATGGCTGGTATGTTTGTAATACTTTACTAGGAAGGCTGTCCTGAAACTTCCAACATCCACTCTCTTGGTATATACCAACCTGGTTACCCAAGAAGTTCTACCGCTCTCCCAAATCAATTCCACATAAGCCAAACAAATTTTCTAAGCATATTCTTTATGGAAAGGGAAAATTACTTGTCATTTTTCTTATAACACCTGTTTATTTCTTTGAAGGCCATAAAAGGCACTCTTCAACTTTCTTTTTATCTAAAGTAGTCATTCTTAATTCCTTCCATTTTCTTGTCCTCACTGTTTAATTTCTCCCACTATTTACCAAATCTTGATGGTTTTCCAATAGTACCCCCTCCAAACTTCTACACACTTCCTGGGTTGAAGACTCAATTTAGAGCACAGCTAGGAAAATCATGACCACTGCTGTTTAGAAGGGAGGGTAAATTTGCCCATTTTATACTAGAGAATGCTGGTCAAACACTTCAGCATGACTTATGCTTATTCCTAACTTTATCACCTGGATCCATTTCTGCTGTCATTTCACAAAGTTGGTAGTTAACATTTAGGACTGGTGTAATTATTTTTCTAAGACGTATCTGAAACCCCTTTTATCACGAATCTTCAATGCTTTGCCCAAAGATGAAAACTGTCATTCATCTCTATGGAAAGAAAAGCAAAGTCCATTTCTTTCTTTTGTTTTCAAATACGAGGAAGCAGAAAACTATTATTTTAAATGAAGCTAATAAATGTAAAAAAACAATATGCAGAGGCAAAAGTCCTAAATAGGTGACTCAAAAAAGTGAGTACTAGTTCTTGAGTAGAGGCAAAAGTCCTGGGATCAACAAGTATTTGTGATTAGATGAATAACCTATAAACCAGGGTATCTGGGTTTGAAGTCATGCTTATTTATTGCATTGCTCATTTTAAATTGGGAAAGGATGAAAAAATTTTCTCGTCACTTTTAACTTACCAAACTTTAATTTTTCTAATTTAAAACCACCCATGCATAAACAATGATCTGTTATCTATAATTTCATAACAAATGTACGTGCATATTTAGAGTACAAGGACAACACAAGGAACTGTGCAATTAGAAACTTTCTAGGATATTCAACAGTCCTGATTATTTCTCAATTAAGTTAAATTTCAATGTTGTTTTCTTTTAAAAATTCTCTTTAAAGAAAGGGAATTGGTGGCAGAAGTTCACATAAAATAGAGATTATTATGGTCAATGAACTAGTCAACTTGCTGTGAGCTGAGACTGAATTTTACTCCTTTTTTTCCTTCATTCCACACAGCAACCTAGGCAGGTCACCAGCCTCCACTCAGTAAGTGCTATTAGCTTTCACAGATACTCAGAATCCACACTGACAGCAGAGGCTACTTTGGAACAGTGACAGAAAAGGGACAAAAGGATAAAAATCAATTCCTGGAAATGGTGATCCTGGCAGGAGACAAAACTCCCTAAAAACATACCCACTGCTAAACAAAGTTTCTTGACAAAACTCACTGCCAGGAATTTTACTGGAGTCAGTAACTACATGCCCGTATTTCCCTCCAAATAATCTCATCCTAAAGAGACACCAAGTCATGTTTGGGTTTCTAAGTTTCCCAGAGCATCTGGAAAATTCTAAAAAATGTTCCTTCATGAGTAATCCTTAATTTCACTTCTTTGCCCATTTCTTCCAAATCTTCGTTAGAAAGGTAAGTGGGGCAGGGTCATGTTGGGCATGCTCCCCTCACACGGCTGCCACCAGCTGGTGGGTGGACAATGACCAACCCACACCCTCGTCATGTACCACTCCTTCACCAACCCCCGACTCTCTCTCCCAGAAGAAGGCTGTTATCCACGCCTCCCCTCAACTGGAAGAAAAGAAATAAACTTGGGCTTTTTTGTTTGCTTGTTTGTTCAGAAGATCTTCTGTCTTGGTGGACTCTGAAAGATTTACAAGCTAGAAACCTCAAATGAGCATCTTTAGGACTCAAGTTATGGTAATATTTACCTACTTATGTTACCCAGATGAATTTCTATGTGTTTCTTACACACTATTTGCCTGTTTTGCTAAGAGTTTTGTTGAGAAATTCAGTCAACCAGAAGACCGCACTTACAGAGCACTTCTGTTCCAAGACTGAAAAGGCACAATTTTCTGTCTACAAAGCTAATACCTCTGTTTGAGATTCCAGTTTGTCCCACGGCATTTTCTAAATGTTCCCAGGTATGCCACAGCTAGAGGTCTGTAAATGTGAGTTGTGCTTGTGGGTATGCGGCTTTCAATAATACAAATTGCCCCCTTGTTTGTAACTGCAGGATGTGGTGAACATACTTTGGGGTTTAATCTCTCATAAAGAAGCTGTTTGCACTCTGAAGTGTGATTTATATATCTCACAACTTTTACTTGCGAGTTTAAGATACTCTACCCCAAATGCAAATACAGACTTAGTTAAAAATTGGGAGTCCTGAAATGTTAAGATTTCTTGAATCAATTTCTAAGCATTTCAAATTCAATTTAAAAAGATTTGAATAAATCTTTATTTATACAAACATATTGGTCTGCAAGAAAAATTATGGCTATGATACATGCTTTTAGTTTAGTATGTATTGGATTCATTAAAATACCTGATTTTTTAATCACTCTCCTCACTTCTATTTATTTCACTGATACGATAAATATCTATAAAACCTATGGCTAAAACAAAAGCAAAGAACCTGACAAAAATCTACATTTACCATATGGTGGGCTCAGGTAATTGTATTTATGCCAATTTCATGTTGTATTAGCTTTCCTAATGTTTGAGATACTTTACAGAAGCATAATATAATTTGAAATAAGCTTCACAGCAGAGAGATGCTTTCAGTTAAAAATATTCATATTATCAATATTTTTAGAAAGAGTGTTGGGCCTCTTAGCTGTAGGGTGGGGAAGAAGGTAAGAACAGAAGGAGAAGAAGGTAAGAACAGAACAGTTTAATTGCTTCTATGGTCATTTTCCTATAACCAATGAACTTTAGCTTTTTTCAGTAACAGAATATTTTCCAAAATTAACTAGAAGATAGACCCTTCGAGGTGGTACTCCTCCTCGATCCCTTGGTCCTCTAACTACACACAGAGAGAGGCACTTGGCCATCTTCGGACAATGACTGGTTCTCTAAAAAGAAGGGACATTGAGGCATTCTATGCACGGTGAAGCATCCCACAGCGCACAAATGTACACTGGTACAAGCCAGATACGTTCATGGAAATGGAGCAAAAGGAAACAGAAATGTGGCAAGAGACAGAAACAAAAACCCAGCGGAGCGACAAAGCCATTCTCCTCATGGCTCACCTGGGGATCTGGCTGCAGAGTAGGCACCGGAGTGGTGTCCACCCCTCTTTACTGTGCACATTCAGGGAGTACAAAGAGGAGGAGACAGTAAGGAGAGCAGTTATTCAGCAGGTCTGAACGCGTATACACAAAAAGGGTTAAACAGCCTGACCGAAGGAAAGTGGGGTGGGTGCTGAAGGCAAAGCAGTGACAAGTAGAATGTCCAAAACACTCCATCTTTTAGAGGACCTGATGCTTGACACAATTTTATTGATCCTACTTTCACATGTTCTAGATTTCCCATCTGTGAAATCATGGTTTTTCATAATCCTCTCCTGAACAGGAAGGGATATCAGCAAAATTACTTAAAATTACTATATACAAACCTTGTAGAAGACATCAAGATATTTATAGATGTTTCTAGCTTTTAAAAAAGTGCCCCCAAACAGTCAAAATTATCACAGATCTATAGGTTTAGAACCTGAAAGAAACTTAATTACAGGTAAGTCTGACTCTTAAATAAGTACCAATTTCCAATAATAATCACTGCTACTATTAAATTGCTTGAAAAAGGAAAAGCCTATGAAACTTATCAAGGAAACGCGTTCTGTGTCAGATGTATGTTTTAAACCAATAAGAGAAGAAAAATATCCACAATCATACAGCACAAAGTTAAAAATACAGTACGTTATGGTCCAAATGCAAAACACTTCTACATAAATACCAGAAGGTTCTAGATATAGACTGTTCTTGAGAAAATGTGTGAGAATAAAACAAACAAGCGTCTTAGCAGATCTATGACAACTTTGAGCAACAGACTCAAATTTTTTGTTTTAAGAATCATGTCATCTACGTGTTGTTTGGAACCTGGCTGCATGCAAACATGGGAAAGACCGCTAGTTCGTAACAATTCAAGGAACTGAAGGAGAAAGAGTACCTGAAGCTGGCGATTTGCTGCGTCGGGAGGGCCCAGGGCTTTTAGATCCAGAATACTTGACAGCTGAGGAGCGAGAATAAGAGGACTTCAAGACGCGGCATTCTAGAAAGGAGAGAAAGTGTATTAACTAAATCTGGTTAAAATACTGATCACACGTGTATGCAGTTTACTGCCAGAGAGCGAACACCTGATCATTTTCCCATTATTGTTAAACAACTCCAATATACAAAGCAATTGTCCCAAAAGTACACCCGAGGTTGTCTTTAGTTAGGCTAGGCATCTTGTAGACAAGCTCATTGCTCCAGCGGAGTTCGCACTGAATAGGGAAATCCCAATGTCCTAACTTGATCACGCACGTAGAGCCCCGTCTGAACATGCTCAGCTTCCTTTTTCGGTCAGTAGTATTGGTAGCAAAAGGCCACAATTTTATTCTGTCCAAACTCCCTGATAATCTTATTTTGAAAGGGTAGGGGACTCCTTACCATCTTATTTTCCACCTTCTCTAAGTATAGAGGATCGAAAATGAGGAAACTAGCTTCCAGCAATAACTTTGGTTTTTCCATAAATCATCAAATAAAACAGCATTTAGAGTACCAGAAGTAATTACAGCTAAAATAATCAGTGCTAATTTGAATAATTAAGAACATGGGTTTGGAGCCATGAAGATTTTGAATGAATCTTGAATCTGATTTTGCTAACTAGGGGAGCTTGGTCAGGGTCTAAGGCTCCGTTATTTCCCCTATGAAATTGGGATCAGAATAAATTCTGCATCTGCTTGGTAGGCTTGTTATAAGGATTAAATCAGATAACCTATTGTCTGTCATTTACGGTTTAAAATACTTCAATTTATGAGGTAAGATTACAACGTGGGTTGGGTTTAATGTATACCACCACGCAATAAATTAACATGTGAAGTCCACTAATCAGGAAAATACACACCAGGGGAGGCTAGTTAGCATTTGAAAGACCCTAATCAAAATCTCACTCAGAAGGGGCTGGATCAACTTCAGTTTAGTTAATTAGCATTGTGGATGTTAAACAGTATTCTGTTGTTGAAAGGAGGGGTGTGTGTTAGTCAGAAACATCTTAAAGGCACTGCCACTCTTTCATAAGCACAAGTGTAAATCCAGAAAACCAACAACTACAGCTTAGAACCACACCCTAGCTTTAGGACTCTCAGCCAGTCCTGAGGTCAGTTCTTGAAGCGGGATTCTGTTACTTGGGGAAGACGTGTTTAGCATTTTAATGAATCTTTAATGCAAGATGTTGTCAGAATCCTAAAAGGATAGAAAGTAAGGACTTTATTAAGATTAAACACAAGTTAAATAACTGGTTAAAAAAACATACACAGGGGCGCCTGGGTGGCTCAGTGGGTTAAGCCTCTGCCTTCTGCTCAGGTCCTGATCTCAGGGTCCTGGGATTAAGACCGGCATCGGCGGCGGCATCTGCTCTCTGCTCAGTGGGGAGCCTGATTCCCCCTCCCCCTCTGCCTGCCTCTGTCCTTACTTGTGATCTCTCTCGCTGTCAAATAAATAAATAAAATCTTTTAAAAAAAATACACATCTTTTTCTCCAAATAAATGTAACAGTGGCCAAATCAAGTTTAATTTCATGACCTGCTGGTGAAGGTATAATAATGACGTTTATAATAATGAAAGTGAAGCACATACATCAGGGACCCTTCTGCTTTATATATACTGTTTCACTTAATCCTCACAAAATCTTATGAAAAAGCCAGTTATCCTCCATTGGCAGAAGGTTGAGTAATTGGCAACTGAGAGGGAAGAAATCAGTAACTTACACCCACCTTTCACTATTGGAGCCCACTGGTAGCTAACAACAAAAACCATGAATAATAAAACTAGATTAGTAAATTTACAACATGCACACAAAGCACAGAGAACAATGCCTGGGACATACATAGTATGTGCTCAATAAATATTTTGTTGCTACCCAAATTAACTTCATAACGTAGAAGATATCATTGTGTTTCAGTGTCTCAACTTTCAAATTTAATAATATTGGTTGGCATCAAAGAAATACTATGAAATGAGATTAAGCTATAATCAAGAAACATGTAAAATACAGATGATAATGCAAATGCACATTTTAGTCAGACTTAATCATCATGGGAACAGGGGAGAGCATTAGCACACACAATATAACAGGACATTCTCTGTGATTCTTTCTAGTGGTATTACAAGTTAAAATCAGGGCCAGGCCAACAGAATATAAGACAGTACAGAAACCCTCAGTGAAACTTGGCAGCAATGAAAAAAATGAAACAAAATAAAAAAGTATAGATAAATGAGGCCCAAGCACAAAGCAGATAAATTATCTCCATGGTAACCGACATAGTTTAACAGGAAAGAATTACTCAAGGAAGTTTGGTACCACAAAACACATCATCTTGAATTTTAAGAAGTTTATGGATCACAGGATTTATTTGGTGACATGTTTCTCTAATTCTGGATGGTCAGAATCACTACAACTGGAAAGGGACTACCGTCTAATTTTTGAAAGGCCACCTCTCCTCACTCATGAAATTAAAGAGCGAGACTTCATCTTTTACATCGATCTCCTGTGTGAAATGTTATGTCTGTATGATTTTACCTCCTTTTAAGAGGAAGTTGACTTTACTATCAGCTAAAATAATCACTATTACTATAATAGGTTTAAATTAATTCAAGACGAAAAAGTAAAGCAATTTTCCCAGAATCAATAACACCTGAAATCACTAAGGTTATTGCTATAAAGTTGAAAACTCCATACATTGGAGAAAGGGATTTTCTCATTCTATCAATGAAAATAGCTTTATTTTTTTCTGCATATACGAACAATGCATTTTTTTTTAAGTTGCAAACAACGAGGTAAAAAGAAAGCCAAGACAACCATGATTAACAATTATTACCTTTTACATATCTCGTTATGAACACAGAAAATGGGTAACTAACCATTTCAGATTCAATATAACCCATATCTTTAAGGTGGCACAACCAGCCACTGTTCTGAAATAGGCAGGAAATCCATTTCAGAGGCAAAACAAGGCAGTCAAGAGACAACTCATTTTAATCTAAAAAATTTAAAACTACCTGAATTAGATTTTTTAACAACTAGGCTAATGTTTTCATTTTATTCTCTACTTTCATTAGTTCAAAAAGAATACCACCAATGTCCTCTTTCTTCAACATGCCAGACCACCTAGCAAGGGTCATCTGACTAAACCCTGAACCTCTGTTTCAGGATTACTAGGACGGTCAAAGAATTGCCTCACCACTGTGATCCAGGACGAAGTCATCTTGGGCATAACGGAATTTTTCAGGCCCACAAGCAATAAAAACATCGTCATCACCAAAAAAGTCTTGCAGACAAGTAACCTAAAAAGAAAGGAAAAAAAAAAATCACGTCTAAGAGATATATTGGAAACATTAGAAGTGAAAGAAAAAGCAAAATGCATTGCATTTGCAAGCCTCACCTATAATATTGTGTTGGAGTGAAAAGCAATTTAAAATCACACTACATTTCCAAGCACTCGACTCTATAGAGCACTTCCACACACTTTCCCTGACCTCAGCACAACAGAATGAGGAGTTCATAGCTGGCATCAACATTTCCATTTCACAAGTGGAGTCGAGGACATTCACACAAAGCAATGTGTTTTCTTCCGTGTTCCCCCTATTAATGGGTGACGGGGCTGAGGCTGATGGAGGTCTCTGCTCTCAGTCTAATTTCTTCATTTCTACCCTTCCTCAGTCTCCCCCTTCCCAACTGTGTCACCCTGGGCATGACTTCTCTGTACCTTTGGTCCAGTGCACTGTAGGTTGTTTGGGGAATAATGCATGAAACCTGCTTGGAATAGTGCTGGGCATCTCAAGGCTCAATGTGTTAACACGCATCTCCATCACCAACGTCATCATTAAGATCAGAGGAAGCCTCGGAGCCCTTCCAAAGTCCTGTACCTGAACAGATAGTTTTAATTTCATATTCTTTTTTCAACCCCTCACCCTAGCCCCCAACACACAGTATCAGTTTCAGATTCCACAGAAACCGGATTCACGGCAGTGAGCACATTCATCCATTCCTGCCAGGGATTATAAGAACTATCCTTCTGGACTTTGGACATAGGTAGATTCCACGTTTACCTGTTTTTCAACTGGCTATGTGATTTTTTTTTTTAAGTACTCTTTTCCTAATAATAAAGTTTTTTTTTTTTTTTTAATCACTGTTCTAGTACCTAGGATCTGAGCGATTGATTTTATTACAAGGATATATTTCATCTGGTACTAAATTTGTTGGTATTTGACTAAATGCCAAAGTAAACAATTAAGTTGCTTATTATATAGAATAAAAGTATTTAACAAGTCTAGGGACTGTAATAAATCCAGGTGTTTTTGTTTTGTTTTTCTCTACAGCAGTTCAATTTAGATCTTCTAGTCAATCTTTTAATGATTTCACCTGTCAGTATAAATTGGCTTTCCAAACACGGTTTCCATGTTTGCCTCCCATCAACTCAGGTTCTAGCCAATGAATACATATTTGGTTAAATAGTTAACCAATTATATAACTATTAAATAGGTTCATATTTGCCTCATATACTACTCTCAAGGAATGGTAGGTATAAAATGAATAAGTTACACAACGGATTTAAACAAACATGTATTTTGACTCGGGATGCTGACATACCTCACATAACATTAAACAACTCTTGTCTCCTTTTATTCAACAAATTTGTACTGAGCATATATGATGTGCCAGGCACCATTCTAGGTGCTACAGAAACATCAGTAAAGAAATAAAATGATCCTACTCTCATGAAGCAAGTGTAAAAAGCAGCACAATAAAATTTGTGAGTAAATTAATGCAATATAAAAAGGTGGTAAGGGGTATGGAGAAAGATAAAGCAGAGATGGGAACTGTGAATGTGTGGGATGGGTGCTACAGTACTAAACAGGGTGGTCAGGGAAGGCCTCACACTAAAATGACATTTGGACAAAATATTAAAAGAGACCAAGGAACAAGCATGTGGGCAAAGTGTTCTAGGCAGAGAGCACAGAATATGGGAAAACCCTGTGAAGATATTAGGCTTAGCACGTTCACAAGAAACAGTCCTGGAATACAGCAAAAGAGGAGAAGAATGGATCAGAGAAGTAAGGGGAAGGAGAGCAGATGACATAGGGCCCTGTCAGCCACTGGTATGGACTTTGGCTTTACTCTGAGATGGAAAACCATCAGAGGCTTCAGAGCAGAAGACTGTCACAAGGCGATGTCCCTTTTAACAGGATCACATTGTGCTCATAACAGACTGTAACAAAAGGGCAAGGGTAGAAAGCATTAAAGGCTCTTGCTACATCAGGCAAGAGATTAGAATGGCTTGTGCAAAGGTGTTGGAACCAAGATGCCCTTCAACAGACAAATGGATAAAGAAGATACGGTCCATATATACAATGGAGTATTATGCCTCCATCAGAAAGGATGAATACCCAACTTTTGTATTAACATGGACAGGACTGGAGGAGATTATGCTGAGTGAAATAAGTCAAGCAGGGAGAGTCAATTATCATATGGTTTCACTTATTTGTGGAGCATAAGGAATAACATTAATGGAGGACATTAGGAGAAGGAAAGGAAAAATGAATTGGGGGAAATCAGAGGGGGAGACAAACCATGAGAAACTGTGGACTCTGAGAAACAAACTGAGGGTTTTGGAGGGGAGAAGGGTGAGAGGTTGGGTGAGCCTGGTGGTGGGTATTATGGAGGGCACATATTGCATGGAGCACTGGGTGTGGTGCATAAACAGTGAATTCTGGAACACTGAAATTAAAAAAAAAAAAAAGAATGGCTTGTGCAAAGGTGTTGGGAGTGGAGGAAGTGAGGGGACTACACCACCCTTTGGATATGGGGATATGAAAGAAGAGAGAAGAATATGATGGCTCAGGGAGTCTGGTTTGAGTCACTAAAGATAGGGCTGTCATGAACTCTGACAGGGTAGAACACAAGAGAATGGACAAGTTTAGTGTAGAAAGGGTGCTCATGAATTCAGATTTGGAACATTAACTGTGAATGCCTATTAAAAACCCAAGTGGAGGTGTTGGTTGGAAAGTTGGACATATATAAATCTGAATGTCATGGGCGAAATCAGGGCTGGAGATATAAATTTGGGACTCACCAGCATATGGATGGTATTTAAAAATCTTGAGATCAATTATGGCAATGAACAAACATAAGGAAAATATCTAAAGCCTGAGTTCTGAAGCAAAGTAATATTACAAGGCCAAGCAGAAAAAGCAAATCCAGCAAAGATTGAAAAGGAGCAACCAGTATGGGAGGAAGAAAAACAAGAATTTGTAGCATGCTGGAAACCAAGTTAAGAAAGTGTTTCAAAGAGGAGGGAGGAGAGAGCATTCACCTGGGTTAATGTTATCAACAGGTTAAGTATGATGAAGATTGAGAAGTGGCCACTGAATCAGCAACATAGAGATTTGTGGGATCTTAAAGATGAAAAATAGTTTTAGTGGAGTGGTTGAAGAGAAAGTCTAATTGGAGAGTTTTACTACAGGAGAGCAGAAGAACTGGAGACATAGACGACTCTTTCAAGGAGCTCTGACTGATAAAGTAGGACATAGGAATGGGAAGATGGCAGAAAGAGGAGGTAGAGTTCGTGGTTAGCAGAATTTGTTAAGATGAGAGAAAAAATACTCTACTATGCTACTGAAATGACCTAGTAGGAAAAAAAATGGTGATGCAAGAAAGAAAGGGGAATCCTGCAGGAGCTCTGATCCTTTGTAAGAGAGAGGAGATGGGAGCGGAGTGCAGATGGGACTGACCTCACATGAGACTACAGTCAGTCTTCCCCAGTAAAGGAAGCCAGGTAGAAGCTGCAAGGTGAGGACACATGGTGGTGTAGTGTTTGGACGTTTTCTGATTACTTCCTACTTCACTGAGAAAACTGAAACAAAGTCATCAGCTGAAACTGAGGCTGGGGGAGAAGGTACAGCAGGTTAGAGGAGGAAGAAAAGATGTAAAATTGCAATATGGGGTTGTGGGGAGTTCTTTGTTATTAGTTTAGTGAACACCTATGCCTCCACTCTGAAAGGAAAAGAACAGGTCTGACTTGATCACTGCTGTGTCCCCAGCAAAGGGTCCTATTTATAGAAACTGTACAGTGTAGTGTCTCTAACCAAAAGAGGAGCCCAACCCCCAGTCCGGGTTCTGGCCCTAAACCCTCTGCCTGCACCTCACCACACCCGAGTAATCTGGTACACTGTCCTGAGGGGGAAACAATGATGTCCCCACAAGCAGCACTAAGGGTGGACTCAGGATCCCACAGTCTACATGTGACAGAAATTCTTGGTTCTAAAATGAAAGAAGTTATCCAGTCCATATATTATTTTAGAAAATCAAAACCTTTTAAGCTGGCATTGTTACTCTATCATGGGGTTGCATCAGACTAGTCAAGAGAAGAAAATCGATAGGAACACAGATGATACGGAAAACTAGAGTGTACTGATAATGAGTAAATAAGGAACAAATGGAAATATTCTCTCCCTCTACTGCTGCTGATTTAAAATACACATCTGTTCACATTTTTCACAATATAGACATGGACCGTTTAGACTGTCCCTATTATGTTTCACTAAACTGTAAAGTTAAAATGCACCAGAAATGGAACACCAGCAGTGAAGCAAGTTGATGAATATGATTAAACGTCAGCCGAGATACTATCTGCAGAAGAGGGATGAGCAGGTTCCAGTTTTCTGTTCACTTTCATTGCAGAGGAAACTCAGTTTATACGGTGTTATGTAAAATACAAGTGTCAGGGGTGCCTGGCTGGCTCACTTGGTAGAACATGAGGCTCTTGATCTCAGGGTTGGGAGTTCAAGCCCTGCATTGGGTGTACAGAGTAGTTAAAAATAACAAATAGAAATAAAATACCGGTGTTAGCCCATGAAGCATCTGGGAAGCGTAAGCTTTTGCCTGGAGCAGAGCCTGCACTGCTGAGCCTGTAGGAGGCTTGGGCAAGATACCAATTTTAGGGGTGCCTGGGTGGCTCAGTGGGTTAAGCCTCTGTCTTCTGCTCAGGTCATGATCTCAGGGTCCTGGGATTGAGCCTTTCATCGGGCTCTCTGCTTAGCGGGGAGCCTGCTTCCCCTCTCTCTCTGCCTGCCTCTCTGCCTACTTGTGATCTCTCTCTCTCTGTCAAATAAATAAATAAAATCTTAAAAAAGAAAAAAAGATGCCAATTTATCTTTAAAGACTAAATGTGATCACGTGTGAAAGCAGCTGTTATTTCTTCATTTTCATTAATTCGTGGCCTCAAATACTTTTTAAATTTAAATTAATGGATAATCTTTCCTGTAAGTATAAACAAAATACCTGC